GCCTGTAGACAAGGTTAATTTACACCCTGGAAGCCAGATGAGGTGTTAACTATATTCAGGTTGCACTTCAGTGGTTTGAAAGGTAATTGTTTTACGTTCCCAGAGCTTAAAAGGGACTTCCATGGGCTTCCCTGGTGCCGCAGTGGTTGACAGTCTGCCTGCCGATGCAGGGGACACGCGTTCGTGCCCCAGTCCGGGAAGATCCCACATGCCGCGGAGCGGCTAGGCCCGTGAGTCATGGTCACTGAGCCTGAGCGTCCGGAGCCTGTGCTCCGCAACGGGAGAGGCCACAACAGTGGGAGGCCCGTGTACCGCAAAAAAAAAAAAAAAAAAAAAGGACTTCCAAAAATAGAGTAGACTATCAAACACAGAGAGACCATATAACACTTGAATTGTTGTTTTCTTAAAATTCCCTTCCATTCTGTGATTTATCTAACACTAGTCAAAGTACTTCATATCAAATATTTATTAGTGAAAGGCAACATTTTGGAGAAAGTTTTACCATCATGGAATAGAGTTTTGTACCATTTTTTTTGCTTAAACGAAATACAGAAAAAGTAAAAAATGAAAAAAAAAGAAAGTTCTTCCATCTTGGTCGACCCTATAAATTCGAAGATCTAAACCATATTCACCGATCATGTCCATTCCTCTTTCATCTATCTGACCCTTTGGGGAAAACAAGCTGAATGTGAAAAGTGGAAGATTCTTCTTGAGTACATACGTTACTAAAAAAGGCTGTTCTTACTTGGACATGGAGAAACAAATTTAAGCCAGCAAAGAAGTCTCAGAGCAGCATTTTTCTCCCCTCCCACTTTAAAGGATAACTTTGTTAAAAATATCAATAAATGAACACACCAAATTAACTTTCAATCACATGCACAAAAGTCCACTTGTCCAGAGGCACTGTATCATGATTGGTAACTTGACTACTCGAGCAATTATCTCATGACACTGTTATTACGGTACTCATTAGCCAAAGCATTTCTAGGTAGTTTTCAGGGCCAAAAAAAAACTGGAGTGCAGCAATCACAATTATAATGCAAAAACAAGACAAAATAATTTGGCCAAATGAATAAGCCCAGAATTATTTTTGAACTGAATTGTCAATAATTCCCTGGCCATAAGAGAGATTTTCACTCCTAAGACCTCAAATATCATATGTTATCATCTTGCCCTCTCAAAATAATAAAAGTTGTAAAGATCAGGTACACATCATCTTTGCTTGTCTTTCACAAAAAGTAACTTAAACATGTGTGTGAGAGAAACTTGGTGTGTTTGTACTTACTCCATTTTTCTATATTTAGTTATCTTGATTAATAAAAGTCAAATATAGTCAAATAAATATTTCCAACTTCAGAAGTTAATCTGTTAAAAAAAAAAGCATTAACTTTTAATAAAGATGCCTGAACACAATCTAAGAGACACTTTGGGAAAAAGTCTCTCAAAATGTTGATTTTTCTAACCAGGAAATGGATCCTGAAAAAAAATCACAGCCCAATTAGTGTCACTCATGACTTTATAAAGTCTTCCTTTTATGTTTTGAGGAATGCAAGAGCTTCAGTGAGATGAAAATTATAATTCAGAGGTTGAATTCAGCTGTGTACTTGAACATTGTGTAAATTCACTGAGCTGAGGCCCACATTTGTTTACTTGAGGACTTTTCAATAAAGTCTTATAATGTGCTTGCAGTTCCAAAGAGCTGCTAAAATCACAAATTCTAAAGCTATGAATATTTTTTGTGTGAAATGGTACACTGAAATTAACACTACACTTTTTGAATAAAAACACCAAGGTGGTACATAGAAATGTCTCCAATTTTCTTGGCTCAGAAAACACAGCTGAAGCTGTGTCTATCAGGATTGTGGGCAGCAATTTCTTAAGGTAGCACTGGAGTAACCTCCAAAGACAAGAAAAGCAACCCGGTGTCAGGCATGCTGCAAAGTCTTCTGCTTCACTCATCATTTTGACTTGCGAAGCACCTGACAGGATTCCCAACATCACCTTTTTTTTTTTTTGCGGTACGCGGGCCTCTCACTGCTGTGGCCTCTCCCGTTGCGGAGCACAGGCTCTGGATGCGCAGGCTCAGCGGCCATGGCTCACGGGCCCAGCTGCTCCGCAGTATGTGGGATCTTCCCGGACTGGGGCACGAACCCATGTCCCCTGCATCGGCAGGCGGACTCTCAACCACTGCGCCACCGGGGAAGCTCCCCCAGCATCACCTTTTAAATTTTCCCCAGTCTCCCCAAGATCACAAAACCATGTTTTCGAATGGAATGTATCCCTCTTGAATTGTTTCCAATCCCCATTAATCTATTAGAGAGCAGATACGAAGATGGAAGACCTTTGTCATTTGATGATGCTAATAAAATGGCAACTGTGTATTACACACATCGTGTGTCAAACACAGCAATAACCCTTTACCTATGTTATTTCACTGAATCCTCACACAGCCTATGAGATAGATTCTATATTTCATCATCTCAAGGAGGCCATCAGCACATTACGATTTTTTTAAATATACCAATAAAAAATAGGGAAAATGCTGCCAAATAAAGTATGATGTAATGTTTTCTTGTCACTTGGAATTTGTCTTTTATACTTGTTGAAAGCACTCTTGTATCATACCACCAAAAACTGCTTTGCAATTTTTTCCCAGTATTCCAAGGGATTTGGAATTTCTCCTGTGTGCAGTTCAGCTGCATGACTTGGTGTGTGATAAGTAATCCTTTTGCTGCACCTCAGCAACAAATAAACACAGTTTCAGCTACATGTGGGTACCTTCCTCTTTTGGATATCATAAAGCACTTGATTGTTTTCTTTGGAAGAAAACCTGGCAAGATGGTCCTTCCTTTCATGATGAATATTTGCTTCACAAATATCAAATTTAAGCCCCCTGCTCTGTTTTCGTGTATACAGTAACTTTCTGTCTTAAAGCCAAGTGCATTGTGTAATCTTTCTGAAAACAACTTAAATGGCAAATTAACTCAGCATGTGCAATAACACCAGTGCCCATAACTACGGTAAAGAGATGACAACGTGAACAGCAATGACCAAGTACGTGTCTGTGCTCAGGCAATGCCAGCTATGTCTCAGCTGCCATGAGGCCAATGGTGACCATAAAATACTGTTCTTTGTATGAGTCATCTCAATTTCTGAGATGTGAAAATGTACAGTATTGTGTTTCTTGGAATCTATAAAATATAGTGTGTTCAAAACAGTATATAATTGTTAAGAGGCCAAGCCAGAATTGTTACCCAGGAAATATGACTCTGGACCACATTCTCTTAATTGCCACATTACACTAGTTATAGGAAAATTAAGGAAATAAATCCATGCCCTTAACTTTGCCATAACGAACTAAAGTTGGAACTCAATATAATTTTCACCTTAGGTCTGTGGATTTAATTTCAAACTTTTGCTGCTGCTTCTTGTATTTTTATTAAATAGTAACACCAGCCTTAGTACTCTGTATAAAGAGGTGATGATTTCTGACTGGAGAGTTTATGATCTAAATTAGGACAAAACTGGGAAAATGAGACGACAGAAGATCGTGAGAAGCTGGTGTTGGTTTCAGTTTGCTTCATTTTCATGTCGGCAATTTTCTTCATGCTTCCTGGATTCACAACACACTTCCTGTCTCATTTTCTCCCAATAATTTTCAAAGAGTGTCAAGCAGCTAGTATGTTCCCTTTATTGAAAGTGAAGAATCTGAGTGTACTGTATTCACACAGCTAGTAAGAAGATGAGATGGTTCTAGCACTCAGATTATCCCTGTATTCAGAGCACATCTATGTTCAAAAGAATTATAATCTCATTGCTAATGTTTAACAAGTGGCTGAATACAATGATCCTGATGACACAAAAACTCTCCTGCAAGAGAATTTGACAATACACCAGATTTCAAACATTTACCTTGAATTTAGTGAAAATGCACCGAAGTGGAATAATAAACAGCATGTGCTCTAGAGCCAGCCTGCCTTGGTCCATATTCTGGCTCTACCACTAAGGAGCTTTGCAAGCTTGGTCAAGTTACTTAACCTCTCTGTGCATCAGCTTCCTTATTCTGTATAAGGCGGGGATCATATTAGCAACAAAAATTCTGGATGTGAAGAAAATGAAGACTAAAACTCTATCAATAAATAAGGTTATATATAGACTAGAAAGAATGGTCTTTAAAATAGACAGAAATTTAGAAAGAATGAGCAAAGAAATTTGGGGGGAAAGAGGAGGCACTCTCTGTTGTTATATTAAACTTGAATTGACTACCAAAGTTCACCTTTGGTTTTTATATACATTATTATTCATCTTTGTAGTGACCCTCAAAGGGTTACCAATTCCCAACGCAAGTCTTTTGCTTACTGAATACTACTTCTGTTTAAATTTCCAGAAACATATCTACATATCATTTCCATAGTCCCAGTTCTATTTGTTTATGTGCCTGGGCAAGAATATCTGATAAACACACGCTGTCTTCCCGAAGTCACGCTGACTTCTTGGTATTTGTGAGCACACTCAGGAGACTTACTATGTGAATGAACCCGTTGAATTCCTGCTTTCACCTACTGCCCTTATAGTAACAGAAGTAGTTACCAGCTCTTTTCAGAACTGTTAAAAACGATGATAGTATATGGAAAATAATTTCTCATTCATGTCAGTGTCAGAGTGCTCCAAAAGGGTAATGGTGAAGAAATATAGTACAGCTGTAGTGAAATATCTTAATTCAGCAAGAAGTCTGTTTTCCCAATAGGAAAATCTAGGCTTAATATGTATCACATAGGCACATAACTACTACTACTGCTCAACACACTCTTCACATTAATGCAGGGTGGAAGGGTGGGGAATAATCTCAAACATCATAAAATAATAAAGCTTTTGTTTATGGTGGACTGTGGTAACTCTAGCTTGCCTTTCATATTTCCCTTCTTTGGGCTTTCAATCACAAACCTTCCCTCCACACACCCATCTCCCTCTGTGCATACTCGTAAGTGTGAGCACCTGACCTGTGCTCCTACGATCGGAAGACTCCATCCTCGAGGCCACAGTGGATCAAGAATAGGCACGTGACCCAGTCCGGGCCAATCAGAGTCCTCCTTGGCAACCTTCTACTGAAACTGAAAGGAAGGTTTTGTTTTCTTTCTGTTACAGTGTTGGAAGGATACAAGCTACAGTTGCATGTGGCCATATTTCCCAGACTTGGGCAGGAAACCTACCTGGTGCAGAAGAGAATAAGGTGCAAAGAGAAGCAAAATCAAGGAGAGAAGAGAGCTTGTCACATCTCCAAAGGGAACCATTCACCCCTCACTTGCCCTTCTTCCTGATGGAGGGCCACTCCCCTGCAATACCATGTGAACAGTGCCTTCTAGAGTTGTGCCACAAAGTAGTCTAAGAGAAAAAAAAAAAAAAATCCCGGTCACTTTGAGTACCTAGTTCCAGTCTCTAAGGACCAGGTTCCTACAGCTTGTCCTTCAGTCCATGAAATACCCAGTATCCTGTCCAGTTTCATCAGCTAATTAGCTCCACTTAACTTCTTAGCTAGTTTGAGTTGAGTTTCCATCACTTGCAACTGAAAGGATCCTGAATAATACAAACTTTCTATAACTGTGCAGAATGCTGTCATACAGATAATTTCATTTTGCACAGAGAAAGTGCCTATTTTATGGATGAGGGGACAAAGGTTAAAGATTTGCCTGCCTCTATAGTGGAGCAGAATTTTTTTAATAGAAAAAGGGGAGGGAAAGAATGAGAATTATATCTAGGTCTTTTTGAAGTGGGCTTATTAGCAAGTTTTCCTTCTGATAACTATGGCACATTTATTTGTCTCCAAATTCAGTCTTGAATTTGGGAGGCGAGCATTCCTGGATCCTCACCCACTCACTGCTGATTTCACCTATGTGCTCTTTGTTCCTTCTACCTGCACTCGGGGTCAAGCGCCTGAAGAGAAGCTCACAGTTGCACTCACAGTTGCACCCCAATCATATTTACCAATGCCTTTTAATAGCTGATACGTATTAAACACTTATTATGCACCAAGCACTATTCTAAGCACTGTATCTGTATTAACTCATTTAATCCTCAGTAAACACTTGTAAGGTAGGTATTACAATTGTCCCTATTTTATGCATGAAGAAACAGAGGCACAGAGAGATGAGAGGTTATATTGATATAACCTGCCTGGGTCACAGAACTAATAAGTAGAGGAATGTGGATTCAAATGGAGGAAATGACACTCCAGCCTCTGTACCTTTCCCTAGACGTGTAACACATGGTGCTTGGATGCTCTGCCTTAGACTCTTGAGTACATTCTATATCACCTGTGCACCTGGGTGCCTGCCCTTTTTAATACCCACTCTCATATCTTGAGTCTGTATTTCCTGCTGCCTGAGCTCTGCAGCCTGTGTGCCTATGGGGCCTGACTGCTCCTCCTTGTTTTACCTACCTTGGCTCCATCTTTGTCTATATGACCTGTGTGACTAAAGGTAAACTAATGCTCATTGAATCTGCCCAGATAATATTTGCAGCACTTGATCCCACAAGCTGACAACAGAAGGATGGGCCAAACACGAGCTGACCCTGAATGAACTAACATTACCAGGTACCCAGAGGACCCACAAGTAACAAAACTGTCTCTAATATTTACCTCCTTTTTTTTTTTACCTGTTGACCTTTTATGATATGAAGTACTGCCTAAGATAAATTGTTCTCCTCTTGAGAATTCTGGGGCTCGTTATCTGGTTTTTCTCACTGTGTTTACTAAAAGAATTTGCACTATATTTGCAGAGTTCAAACATCAAAGATAAATTTTGATAAAAATATAATTTATTGAAGGGATACCAGGTGTTGAAACTGGAAACTGGAAAAGGCTTTGAGGTTGCTAAAAGGATACAAACTTTAAGTTATAAGATGAATAAGTTCTGAGGATCTATTATATAGCACGGTGACTATAGGTGGCTATAGTTAGTAATACTGTACAGTATACTTGAAATTTTCCAAGAGAATAGATCTTATGCATTCTCACCAAAAAAAAAAAAAAAAAGTCACTATGTGAGGTGATGGATGTGCTAATTAACTCAATTGTGGGAATCATTTCACAATGCACACGTATATCAAATCACACTGTACACTTAAATATATTACAGTTTTATTTGAAAAGGAAGGAAGGAAGGGAGGGAGGGAGGGAGGGAGGGAGGGAAGAAGGAAGGAATAGGGATGGAGGGAGTAGGGATGGAGGGAGGAAGGAAAGGAAACTAGCCTCCAAGACAGAACAGGCAGAATCACAAACCAAGACAGCTCAGTGACTCAACCAACTCCTGGGCCCAAATGCTGGAATGAATGAGTTTCAAATAACCTTTTTCTTGACTCAGTCAGCCAAAAGTTCTAGGTAAGAGCAATCAGCTAGTCTGGCTTTCAGTTAGGACAGGGCAGGACACATGACTGACATACTTAAATTGCCCACAAATATAAAGAAGAAATTCCCCCAAAAGTCACAGGAAAATTAAGAATGGTTGATGGTTGTTAGGCAGCCAAACAACACAGCAAGGTCTATTCTACAGTACTGACTTCAGTACTACATTCTTGATCATGAGTATTCAGTATGTTATTCTGTTTCAGTAACTACATTTAATGGCACCTGGAGAGGTGCTTTTATTCAGAACTTCACGAAGATGACAAAAGGATTTACTGAGATCAAAGAATTCCATACTTGGTAATGCTACCCAGATATATGTTAAAATACAACGAACTAGAAAGGATACGTAGGAGGTTCTGACAACCTATTTATCTCACATAGAACTTGTGATAAACCTGGAACCGGGATGCTAAGGGAGTGGTATGGCCCGAACAGCATCTCTCTCCAGGCTCCATATTTTCTATGCTGGGACATGTACTTCTGCCTTAAGGGTCCCACAACTCTGCTCCTGCACCTATTTAAAGTCACCACCTTCGGGGCTTCCCTGGTGGCACAGTGGTTAAGAATCCGCCTGCCAATGCAAGGGCACACAGGTTTAATCCCCTGGTCCGGGAAGATCTCACATGCTGCGGAGCAACTAAGCCCGTGAGCCACAACTACTGAGCCTGAGCTCTAGAGCCCACGAGCCACAACTACTGAGCCCATGAGCCACAACTACTGAGCCCGCAAGCCACAACTACTGAACCTGCGTGCCACAACTACTGAAGCCTGCACACCTAGAGCCCGTGCTCTGCAATAAGAGAAGCCACTGCAATGAGAAGCCTGCGCTCTGCAACGAAGAGTAGCCCCCGCTTGATGCAACTAGAGAAAAGCTGGTGCACAGCACTGAAGACTCAACACAGACAAATAATAATAATATTAATTAATTAATTTTTAAAAAGAAAAAATTTTAAAAAATAAAGTCACCACCTTTATCAGTGGATAGTTGTTAAGGTTTGCCTTCCCTTGAGTATTTTGTTGCACTCAGCTTTATAATACTGCAGCCCTCTGCCTCTCAGACAGGCACTCTCTAAGTCTGTGGCTGTGTTTTCTTTGATGGCTACCTTCTCTTCAGAGGATCAGTCATCTTTGGGCTGCAAGTACATGACACAATATACCTTTTAAAAGGGGGATCAGCTCTTCTTTGGCATAACAACTGAACACTGGTTCTCCTTTGCAAGGAAACATGGACACAATGATAGTTTCTGGACAAGAACATTCAAAATCGTTGATCTTTGCTCACTCCCGTCCTTGCAGTGAGACCTCAGGATTAGGTCACAAATATTTTAAAATATCAAATGGGATACACTTCTTTCCTGGAAGTTATTCCACTAACAGAATCAATGAAGTAAATCAAAATCCCACCTTCTTCCTTGATAGTAAACATTTACTATCCTGATGAGAACAGAATTTACTTCTCATAACTAAGTCAAAATTTAAAACTTCACCTTTTCATTCTGAGCAAGTGTTCTTCATAATTAACAATCAAAGAATTACACAAATTCACTCAACAGGTAAATCCATTTAGACATCTGGGGTTATATTTTACTATTAACTCAAACTGACATGCATCAGGATTAATCAAATAACATCCCATATAAACTCTATTAAGGTTTTTTATCAGTGAGAATAGGATAAGATTGGGCTATGCCATTGATTCCCAAATCACAGAAGTTCATCTCTCACTTTCACAAAGATGGCTGCTGATCTCCAGGGCAGCTGCCCTCCATGTAAAACTCGACTTTTTATCTCCAAGAATTAAAGCTTTCTGAAGCCATTGTGCTACACATATTTGTCCCTTCCTGAACTTTAGACTTTCTATCTGTCTGAAAACTATCCTTAGCCCTTAGACATGCAGCTGCCTCCCCTCATTAGTTCTCCCTTCCTCTTGTATGCTCTTCCCTCACATGCTCACGTGTCATTTCCTCCTCCGCATTTTGGAAACTCCCAACTAAGGTGTCATCAACTGCTTAGTTACCCTGACTACTGCCATCTTCTTCTCTCCCAGTTCTCCTTTGTCACCTATCCAATCTATATAAAAGCCTTCTGCCGAGATATGCTATTCACACAGCTAAGCCCAAGACAGCTGTGTCTTCCTACCAATCTCTCTATGTCTCCCACCCTTCCCTCTCTGACTTCAGATTTCTGGCTACTTTCAATCAATCAATCAATCGACAAAAATTTACTAATTTGCTTGCAGTATTCTATAAACTGTACTAGAAAGTCTATTCAAGAGAAAAGGATAACACATAGTATCTATCATCAAGTATATTCTAATGTACTAGGAATTTTTAATTTGATAATACAAATAAAAACTGAAATGTAATGTATTATATTTTTAGTCACAACTCTCTGGTGGTATATGACCATCAGAGGGAGTTCCATTGAGGGAGACAGCTGTTTGGACTTGAGAATTTAGAAAGCATCTAGTCCAGTGGTTTCCAGTCATGACTGATCATTACAATCATCTAGGGAAGGTTACAAAAAAATACCTCAGATTACTGATTCAACATCTCCAAGGCTGTAGGGACTGAGATCTGCAATTTATATATATACACATAGGTGCTGTATGTGCATACATATACGCAGGTATGTGTATATATACAGGTTTATATGTATATATATACAGGTAGGTATATATGTATAATGTGTGTATGTGTGTATATACAAGTATTCATACATTATGGGTAAAAATAAACACCTCTCCAAGGGATTTTTATATTGCTCATGTTTATGATCCAAGTCGACTTCATTCTTATATCTTGTTAATCAAATTCAAAAAAAAAAAAACAAAAATGAATTGCAGAAAAGCTTAAGTGCCTTAGCCAAATCACACAACTAGTTACTGACAGAACTAGGAGCTAAGAGCAGTTTTATTGATTCACTGCCCTCAAACTCTTCCAATGTTATATATACTCCAAGAAGATGGTGGGAAGAT